ATAATGTACACAAGTTCATGTACCTATATATACATAGGTGCACACACACACGCACACACACACACACACACACACACACACACACACACACACAAAAGAGCTGTATCTACTTTCCTAAAGTGTTCATTTTCTTTAGATTTCCACTCATTGCCCATCTTACCCAGGGTAGAGGGATACTGCAGGTCTGTGGGGTGTCAGTTATTTGCAGGTGGCCTAGTGTTCTTGATTACTACTGAAATGTAAAGCGACGGTCACCTTGAATACATATTTCAGTGGAGTAGTTGAGAGCACAGAGCAGGACCAGAATGCCTGCCTCTTATACCCTGCAGTTGCCGCTTACTGATTGTGGAACCACACAGCCTCGCTTAGATGTGTCTCAGTGTCCTCAGAGAGGCTGTACGAAACTGGATCCCTAAGATCCAATGTCAAAATCACAGGCAGGGGAGTCTGATTGCTCATCTCAGGTATCTTCCGCATGCGTTGATTGATGGTCATGGAGACATGGTGCAGAATAATCAAGTCCCCTCCCCAGGATAGGCCAGCAGTGTAGCTGAGGCTGGCCTTGCACGATACAGAATCTCCTTAGTGAGCTGGGATGTAGGCTTGTGCCACGGCACCCATTCACATACTACGTTTGCCTTTTCTTTCTTTTTTTTCTTTTTGAGACGGGGTCTCTATATTATCCTGGCTGTCCTAGAACTTGCTATGTAGATTAGGCTGGCCTCTAACTCACAAAGATCCTCCTGCCTCTGGATGCCACTCCTCACACAATGAAAAGTAAATGTCCTAAGAGTCATTTTCAATGAAAACCTTTTCTTTGGTCTTTCCCGTAACATCTCACCAGTACTTCCTTGGTGCACACAAAGCGGTTTGTCTCTCATAAGCTTTGTCACTGTGGCTTCACCCCAGTGTGTTTCTTGCATTTAGTGTCCAGGATAGACCATTCCTTCTCACCTGTCTCCTCACTGCTCATGTCTGAGACTGACCAGCAGCGTCTGTGATCTTCAGGACCAGTAAAGGAACTGTTTGCTCCAGTCCCTCCTAGGAAAGCCATGACCGGGTCTCACGGCCATCACTTTCTGCAAGCCTTAGCCTGTTCCCCTTCCTGCAGAGTAGCTTTGCTCTCCCCAGGACCTCGGGGACTTGCCGAGCCTCTCCATCCTTAACTGTAGCACTCAATCACTTAGCGTCCGTCCTTCTCTGGTGGAGCAATCTCTCATGATTGTTCAGCTGCAGTGAGCTCCAGAGAACTTGCAGGGACTGTGAGTGTGGCCTCGAGGTGGAGGTGGATGGAGGTGGATGGAGGTGGTTGAAGATTAGTGAGTGAAACAGGCAAGCTGTCTGTCAGGAAGCACTCCACAGCAGCAGTAGAAGGGAGAGAGGTCTCCAGTGATGGAGCCAGCTCTGTTTGATCTTGGGCAAATATCCTCACAGTTCGCCCTCTCTCAGCTCCCCGGAAATACCCTGAGTGTGATTGGTTGCAGTATTCAAGGGCACGCTGGCCCGTGGTGGTCCACTCCTTTAATCCCAGCTCCAGGGAAGCAGAAGCAGGCGGATCAAGGGCAGAGGAATTGGTAAATTACTCAGGCCATAGTTATGAAATAAGCATTTATCAAAATGTCTTATTTTGTAACTCTTACTGTTTTATTTGGAAAAAAATTAACTTTTGCATCTCTGCCTTTCCCTAGCTCACTAGCCACACCCATCTTCCTAATAACTGTCATTATTACTTAAAAGAAAGAAATTAAATTTGCAAAAAAAGTTACCAAAAAAGTTCAAAAGTAACCTTTGCCCTTCACCCCATTTATCTCTCATCTAATAGTGGTCCCTCACATTAAAGAACAAACAGAAAACCTCAGACATTTAAGCTGGGCGGTGGTCAGGCACACACCTTTGATCCCAGCACTCGGGAGGCAGAGGCTCGTGGATCTCTGAGTGCGAGACCAGCCTGGGCTACAGAGCGAGTTCCAGGACAGGCAAGGCTGTTACACAGAGAAACCCTGTCTCGAAAAACAACAACAACAAAACAAACAAAAGAACACGATGCCTCAACACCTCATTACTGGAGATCTTAATTGAGTGTTTGGCTTGGTTGCTTAGACAGGTTTTACTGTGTAAGTCTAGGCTGGCCTCAGGCTGGAAGAGTCCTGGGAAGCACGATGCCCAGCCTGGCAATACGATGCCCAGCTTGGCAATCCTCATCATAGTTAAGTTCTCACTCAGCTTTCTCCTTTACCATTCCCCTCTGTGGTCACCGACCATCTTCTGTGAAGTCCTGTGACGTGAACGTGTGTGTCCCATACCCTTCCGCCACAGTCAGTCAGGTCAGCAAAGTTACGGTCTCAGGAAGTGGGGCTTTGGGGAATTGAGTAGGTCATAAGGGCAGAGGCTCCCAGAGGATGTAATAGAAAAAGAAAGAAAGAAAGAAAACAAACTGTTGTGTCTATATGGTAGACGGTCGAGGTTGTGGGGGTCGGGGCTGGAGAGAGGGTTCTGCCATTAAGAGCACATTTCAGTTTCTGCTAAATGAGAGTTTCAGTTTACTTTTTCTTTATTTTCTCAGGGCCTTGTGCATGTTAGGCGAGTGCTCTGCCACTGAGCCCCGTCCTCAGCCTATGGTTTGATTTAGAACAGCTGTAGCTATGATGTGTACGTGTTACAGTCCTACAGCATCTATTTTCTGTGCCGTTCAGCTCAGAATGCTTTCGTGATACCCTGTTATTTACATCTGCTCAGCTTGCCCAGGCTTGCTGGAAGGAATTGAATGGTGTCTGGATACGGCCCTGAAGACACGCCCAGCGTGCTCACTGTTAGAGAACCTGAAAGGAATGCCTGAGGCTTCTGGGGTGTTCAGTCCGAGTGTAGCATTGTTGAGGTTTCAGCACTTGGGAGGTGTGGTGAGGAGAGGGGATGGTCTTTATCCGTGCCAGGAGGCATCACAATTTTAGTTTCGCGTTGAGGACAGAGAGTGAGAGCGGTGAGCAAAAGCAGGTTTGCAGCATCGGTTGGGAAATGCTGAGCTGTAGCCTCAGAGTCTTTTCTCCTGGTTAACCCTTTCCCACACACTGTTCGTGACGAGTTGGTTTGTCTCAGATATTTTAGACGTCATCTTTGCAGATCTACACTAATCCCCACTGGATGCCAGCCTGTTCACCCTGTGCTAATGCACTAGCATTTAAGAACATGTGAGGATGGAAATAGAAACATCTCAGAAGTGTAGGAGCCATAGGTGACGCCAGAGTGGGCTGCATCTGGGAGGAGGGGCTGGTGTTGGAAGTGCTCCATGGTGTTCTTGTGTTTTCCTTTGTTTAGTGTGTTCTGCAGTGCTGGGTTTGAACCCATGGCCTTATGTCTGAAGCCTTCTACCACTGAGCTATACCCATAGCCAGGTTTGTTCTGTCTTTGAGACAGGGTCTTACTGTATGGTACTGATGACCTGGAACTCACTCTGTAGACCAAGCTGACCTCAAGCTGACAGAGATCTTCCTGCCTCTGCCTCCCCACTGCTGGGATTATAGGTGTGTGCCAACACTGCCTGGCCATTTTTTTTTTCTAACAAGAAGTCTGTCTCAGAGCTGGGAGTGTGGCTCAGTGGTAGATTACTTGCTTAGCCTGCCCAAGGCCCAGGATTCAATCCCTGTCACTACTGCAAACACTAGATGAATGGATGGATGGGTAGGTGGGTGGGTGGATAGATGGGTGAATGAATGGATGGATAGATGGATGGATGGATGGGTGGGTGGGTGGGTGGGTACATTAAAGGGGAGCCTGGAGAGATAGGTTAGTGGTAAGAGTACTTGCTGCTCTTCCAAAGGACCTGAGTTCAGTCCTGCCAACACCTACATGGCAGCTCACAACCACCCATAACTACAGCTCTGGGGATGTGATGCCCTCTTCTGGCTCCCAGTGGTGTCAGTCTGTGTATTCCTTAGTATTTCTCTGCGGAACAAATGTTACTAATGCAGACCTAGTTGATTTTGCGACACCATGAAGCCCCAGACTGTCCTCAAAGTCAGGGCCATCCTAGCTCCACCCCTCTGGCACTGGGATTGCAGGTGTGAGCTGCCATGTATGGCCCAGATGGCAGATCTTAGGGATGTCAGACAAGGTTAGTTAGTAGCTGTGACACCCAGACCCTGTCTCTTTCTCATAGAAGTAGCTCCAAAAAAGAGGTAAATTAATTGATTTTTAGGTACAATTTGGACTCTAGCTGGTGTTTGTTTGTTTGTTTGTTTGTTTGTTTTTTAAGAGGCAGGGTTCCTCTGTGTAGCTTTGGAGCCTGTCCTAGAACTCGCTTTGTAGCCCAGGCTGGCCTCGAACTCACAGAGATCCGCCTGGCTCTGCCTCCTGAATGCTGGGATCAAAGGCATGCGCCACCACCGCCCGGCAACTCTAGCTATTAAACTTTGGCATGACTCTCCAAGCCTCTGCTTCTTCATCTTCAGTATGAGAAGTCAGTCCTGATTAATAGGGTTGCTTTAAGTAATCAGCAAAACAAGACACACACAAAACACTTAGGCCTAGTTGTTTAGGAACAGGATGAGTATTCGATCACAGTTTAAAACAAAAAGAAAGGGCTGGGTGTGGCTCAGTGCACAGGCTTAGCAGGCTCAGAGCCCTGGGTACCATCCTCAGCCCAAAACAAAGGGAGGGAGGGAGGCAGAGAGGGGAAGAAAAAGAGATCTCCTGTGCATGGGTTTGGGTTAGCATCTTCTTCCTAGCCTGTGTAGACTCTGGTTTCCTCTGGGCCTCTGGAGCCTGTGTGGTAGTGGGTGGGCCTGTGTGGTAGTGGGTGGGCCTGTGTGGTAGTGGGTGGGCCTGTGTGGTAGTGGGTGGATCTTGCTTGAGTGTAGGCAACCCTTGGAAACAGGCGCTACCTCTAAGGAAGAATCCATTGTTTCCAGTTAGCCCAGTGGAATGCAAGTATGAAAAACACGAAATGGACAGGCTCTTAGAATGATCGTGTCTTTATGTGCTTTCTTTTTCTGTTTTTGAGACAGTGCCTTTGAAGATGAGACACTGAGGCTTCGACAGCTGAGGCTGGACAATCAGGTGAGCGGGGCTCCTGGAGGACCGCACTGACTGGAACCTTCAGTCTCGGCTCTGAAGTCATGACAGGGTCTCACAGAAAGACAGGAGGGCAGGATCGCTCATGGCTACTCATTAAACACTGTGTGAACTTAGTTGCCGAGCCAAAGCTCTGGGCTGTGGCAAGAGCAGGGTGATTTGAAGATGGTGGCTATAAACTGGCTTTGTTAATAGTCATTGAAAATCTCCTGGCACCTTCTACAAGAATAAAAGAATGTTGTAGCTGAGCATGGTAACATTAACTGGTAATCCCAGCTCTAGAGAGACTGATCATTGTGAGTTCAAGGCTAGCCTGAGCTACATAGGGAGACCCTACCTCAAAACACTAAAATAATGACAATAATAAATAAATAAACAAAAGTTGCCGGGCGGTGGTGGCGCACGCCTTTAATCCCAGCACTCGGGAGGCAGAGCCAGGTGGATCTCTGTGAGTTCTAGGCCAGCCTGGACTACCAAGTGAGTCCCAGGAAAGGCGCAAAGCTACACAGAGAAACCCTGTCTCGAAAAACCAAAAA